GGAAAATTTAAGGAGTTATTATTATGTACGTTTAGATGATACAACCGGTAGGATACTTTTGCACGTTACTGTATATTGTCGTAAATTCTGCATTTATCTTATAAGAGTAATACATTGTTATAAAGTCGTCAGCCAATAAACTAAACCCATGTTAGTTAATGCACGAACGTCTCCGCGGATAATCCCCCATACAAAATTGGGTTGAGCTTACAATACATCACTAACGTTGCCATACACATTCTATATCAAGTTAGAGACGTTATGTATAGATGATGTAATTGGCATCTAGAGAAGATAACTTAATAAATTATATAAGCTTAAGCCATACATTTGTGAAGACATTTAAACCATAGCCACGAAATTATCCGGGAATGATAGAGTTAAAGTGTCTTGTGGAATATAATGTTGGCGTGCATTTGAAAGAGCTTTGTATAAATTATACAATGCTTGTTTTACCGTAAAATACTTGACATTCGATCGGAAATGGCTCATTAAAATATCAAGGGGTGTATTAGAATGTTACCGTGACACCATTGTGTTACTAGAAGTTAATGATCGCAAATTCAATTGATTGACTATTACTATTGTGTAGAACCTACAATAACAGCAATATGTCGCAACAACCCTGGCAAAGCCAACAATGGAATTATCCACAACAGCAACAGCAGCAGCAACAACAACAATGGCAGCAACAGCATCAACAACAGCAACATCAACAACAGCAACAGCACGATCAATCATTCTCCAATTCTCTGCAATCTATAACTGATAACCAGTTATACTCAGTCTTACAACAACCAATACAACAGGAACGTATGAGCGGTACCAATCAGCTTTTCTATCAGCAGCCGCCAACAAATTCCTTGCAGCGAAGCCTTGTGATGCTCCCATCACAATCATCGCATTCAACTGAACGACAGTCTCGACAGCAACAATCTTCCTATTTCAGTCAGTTGCATCAACCACTACCAACAGATACTGTTCACCGACAATCTCAAAACCTTCCACTCAACTATGTTGGAATTGCACCTTGTTCGGGGATTGACAATATGGAGTTATGTCAAGATGATGCTGATCAAACCAACCATCCCAATTCTCAGCAACAGTCGCTACTATTATATCCACGACAAGCGGAGCAACCAATGCAACAACAAACATCACAACAAACGTGGCAATCTTATCAACAATTAAGACAATCTGACGGACAAGATATGCTTGAAGTTGATCGGGTTAACCCGCCAGAGTATATTCAAACGCAGGTTAGTATAAATATGATGAGATGAGTTTTCCGTCAGCTCGAAATTTGTATATCTACTGAC